ATAATCACTTCCCTCGATCTGCTGGCAATGCTCCTACTAATGCAGCCCAATATGCCATTAGCCGTCTTGGCAACAAGGGCACACTGCTGACTCATATCCAGCTTCTCATCCACTGTAATCTCCAGGTCCTTTTCTGCACCCACACCAGCCCCTGCGAAAGCGGCGTAAGGCCCTAAAAAGGAGACAAGGCTTGCTTAGAAGTCTGAGTGAAGGTTGGGATGTAAACGCCCAGAGACAGGGCAGAAGACCCTGGTGAGGACAAATAGTTTTGCTGGACTTTCCCTACCCTGGAAGGGGTTCATCCATATCAACTGTGTGACTTGGCTGGAGGACTGAGCCACTGAAGACCTGCCTAGTGAGGCTGACAACTTATAGGGGGTGCCAGGAGAAAAAAAGACGGCAGCACCAGACCCACCCAACTGGAGGCACTCACAAAGAGGTGAATGTCTCATGTCTAGGACCCTATCAAATTCACGGCCATGAAAAACGTGTCATGGACCATGAAATCTGGTCTCCCCTGTGAAATCTGGTCTTTTGTGTATTTTTACTATATACTATAGAAGTACCCTATACTATAGGGTAAAAAGTATACAAAAGTGCACAGCGTTTCTCAATCTGGGGGTCCTGACCCAAAAGAGGGTCACAAAGCTATTGTGGGTTGCAGGGGTATCAAAGTATTGCCACCCTTACTCCCATGCTGCTGCTGGCAGTGGTGCTGCCTTCAGAGCTGGGCACCCAGCTCTCTCGTGCCATACTGTGACTCCCTCTACAATCACCCTGTGACCCCCTTTTGGGTCCGGACCCCCAGTTTGAGAAACAGTCTTAAGGGGTTTACATGTTTATATTTTGCCTTTTTAAAATACATGTTCATGTTTTGTTATAACACCATGAAATTTAAGATATAAATATCTGAAACCGTGAAATTCAAGATTTTTTTAAAATGCTACCACCATGAAATTTACAAAAATGGACCATGAATTTGGTAGGGCCCTACTCATGTCACACTGACCCATATAAAATACTTTCCCAGGCCTATGTAATGTCAATGAGCATTGTGGAGGCCCCTGATAAAAGAGACTTAGTTCAATAAGTCTTTATATGAAAAAAGGGCTTTCACCAAATTTCTTTTGAGGGTATATGTCCAATTTAAAGGCAGGTAGGCCTTAAATTAGATCATGCGGTAGTGCTTTGGTTTGTGTACAACATGACCAGTGTGAGCACGAATGTTTCATCGTCAGTCTGTTCCATCCTTGGGAGCAGGCACATAGTAATCGCAAGGTTTTCTGGATTCATCCCACACTATAGCTGAAATAGGGTTCTACAATACTTTGACACATAACTACTAATTTATGTTCCATCAAAAGCTTTACTTTTTACCATATACAAGTTACTTCATTGAACTTGTTCTACAGCAAGATGCAAAAATGCTACTATTCTACTACCAGATTTAGTACCAACTTTGTTACATTATGAAAAGAATAAACTGTAGTTTAATATCGCAAAAATACTATAGTTTATTCATTTTATTTAGTGTCTTCCTAGTATCAGTTGTGACACATTAACCAGCCAACACTAATCACCAAGAATTGCTGTCACACTGGAATCACAACAACCATTTTTGCAAATTTTCTCCAGAAAAGTCAACCATCTTGACAACTAAACTGTTGAACAGTAGAAGTGAATTTAGTAAAAGCAACTAATTCTTTGGCCACCTACTGCTCTTTATCACCATTACCATCATAAACTTACATCTTTCACTCTAGAGCAGTGATTCTCAGCCCGCGGGCCACTTTCGGCCCAATCGGCACACAGTTGCAGCCCATGTGACATCCTCAGGCCCATACAGGTAGTATATATATTGTGTGGATGCAGCCCACAATGGTAAATATGACTGCTCTAGAGGCTTCACAGTACATTCAAGTCCTTTTTCTGGCTGGGAGTTTTGCACACTGGCTGACAAATCAAAACGGCTAAGTTTCCTGTGACGCTTCCACACTGCTGATATTTCTTTAATAAAGTAATAAACACCAACTGCCTAGATAATCTTCAAGACTATTGGGAATAATGTTTCCAATATGTCTTTATGCAACACATGATTTCACTCACAGGCCAGAAATAATCAAAAATCAGTCACCTAGCTCAATGAACAGGCTTCATAATAGCCACAATTCTATCAACAAACCTTTGTACATAATGTTTCAAGAAATCTCAAACCTTGGTAGTTTTATTTTCCATTTACAGGAATTTTTCTTTTGATATTGATAATTCAAAATCTATGTCTATGGACAAGCTCATGATGAAAGCATAGAATCTTCTGTAGACATTATCTAGAAAGAAATATCTCTTCTGTTCCCCCCGCCCCACTCTTCTTACTGTAAGGATACACATTTCCTCAGAACTAGAGGACTGGAATGGAATTTATGTTATATTCAATTGCTCACTCCATTTTTGCGTAAAAGTTAAGTCTTGTAATAGATTAATGTTTCATGTACTTCAAAATCAAAGGATCTATGTTTAAAATCAAGATGACTTTAAAATAATCATTTAAAATGCCACTTTCCACTGCTATGAAAGATGGATTTTTCAGAGATACTGCAGTCTTGCAATATTTGGCAGAAGTCTGCTTCTCCCCCCTTTTTTTGTTTTTTTGTTTTTGTTGTTTTTTGTTTTGTTACAACAGGCCTGTAGACATCAAACTACTCTGTTGATCTGGAAGACACAATTAATTTAAGTCCATGCATTATGCCTTTTTAGTTATGTGTTCACTTCAGTAATACAGGCATTTCAGGTCCATAAAACTTTCAGCCTATTAAAAAAATTAAGCCAAAGCTTCATAACCAATAAGTTGGAACTTTATATGGCTAATCATTTAAAAGTCAAGAATTTAAACACTCCAAATAAAACAAATGTTTCTTCTGTAAATATAAACAACAGAATTGTGTAACAATCTGAACAGAGACTAATAAAATTGCAAAAAACAGACCAATGACTGTAGATTTCAATTAAATAGAGATTGGAGTGCAATTCGTTTCAAAGAGCAGAAAATATTTTTAGATCACTAAATGTTAGTGTTTTGCAAAGTACAGTATGAGAATTTAAAGATTTAAGGGTGATGACAGCACAAATACCTTTCAGGTATAAGGTAAAGAAATACCAGGTGGTCTAACGTGCTCTCCTGCATAATGTGAAAGGGCACTTAATATCAACAACCAGTTTGACTATATCCATCTGATTTACATACAGTCTGCGTTTAAATGGTGCATGAACAGTAGGTGCCTATCTCGTACAATATAAATGTACACCGTTTCCTCTCATTTACAATAACATTCTTCCTCTAACCCCTCCCTAATGCTGCTACTTTTGTAGTATCAGATTAATGTTCCACAGCTGCAGGCTGGACTCCATCAGACCGCATTAGAGCTGCAGAACTGCAATCGCATAACTCCCCCTTCATTACAGAGACCAAGAGCAAGCAAACACACACACACACACACACACCCTCCCTAAACGCACAATTGCCATCTGCACCTCCACGACACACTGATCGGAGTCACAAACAACCAACATAAAAGGCATGAGAATGATAGGGCCGTGATTGCGTTTGTCCCGGGGAAAAAAACAATCTCGATTTCCTGTTGGGTGGGGTTTTGACAGTGCATAAGGGAATCATGCAAAATGTAGCCGGAAAGACCCGAATAAAGGTTGTCAGATCACTGCATTGTGCTGCATCATTTCTCCTCAGGCATAAAGGAAAGGGAAAACCATAACAATAAATAACGCAGGCATGATTTACACACACATGGTTCCCAAATATAAATACTGCAACAGAGCAAACGCCTCCCTATCATTTCTCACAGATAAATTCAAATCTGATTAGGTTTTATTGTCTGGAAAGGCACTTCTACCGCAATCTAACCAATACGTAAGGAAGATGCCAATTATACCAACAGAGGGAACCTGGAAGATCCACATCTAACCCTAAAAGACAAACCTGTTGAAGTACTGGGGGGAGGGAAGGAGCGAGGGGAAACTGACCGGTCTCCTCCAAGAAGACAGAAGGGCGGCGGAGGAGGGGGGAGAGACAGCAGCAGCACAGCTAGCTCCCGACCACGCCTGTTTGCATCCCAAGTACCGTTACAGGCAGCCACCTATGTCACGCTCCCACGGTCGGGGATTTGGGGTGGGGTGGGGGTTTTAAGCCACCTGCTGTCATCCGCTCCCCCCGTCGTTGCCCAGTTTGCTGCTGGACCATTCATCCCCTTGTCCACGCACAAACCAGACAGCGTTAGTGCCCGAGGAGGAGGCACAATAATCCTACTGCAATATAATGATGGAGCCTGTTATAGCGCTGGGTGCGCGCAGCCCGCACCCACACCGACCATCTCCAGCCGGGCTGGCAAGCCCACGGCCTCGTCCCCCCGCCCCGGCAGGGGAAAAGCCTTCCACTCCCCTCTCTGCAGAGGGAGACTCAGCTGGGTGCACCAGAGGCCGTCGCCTCCTTTCTCTGCAGTCCCCCACCCCACAGATACACACACACTTCCCCCTTCCCAGCCTTACTGTCCCCTCCCTGTGCTCTTCCCCATGGGGAGGTGACATTCCCCCGACCTCCTGCCTTTGCCATGCCTCCCTGCTGCCTGTGGGGAGGGGGCAGGACTCTTCCTGGGGGCCGGGGGAGTCGATCATGGCTGTGCCATGTTGTCCGCACGCACCGAGAGCCCCTACCTCTCCTGGCTGGGGAGCCGCTCCCGCCCCGGGAAGCTCCGGGCTCCACTCCGCAGCGGTGAGTGGGGGGAGATGCAGCAGCGGTGGCCGGAGCTGGCAGCTCCGGGCAGTGGCTGGAGCGAAAGGGAGTGACTGGAGGAATCCGCAGCCTGCCTGCCCCCTCCGCCTGCACAGCGACAGCTGCGCTGAGCCGGGAGCCAGGGGGCGGGGAGAGCGCGCGCACACCACCGCCCCGCGCTCGCTCGGGCGGGCGGGGGGTGGGAACGCAAGCGCCCGCCTCTCTCGCTGCCGCTCCTCAGCAAATCCAGCGCCCTGCACTGGGCCAAGCGGAACCGCAAGCCCCGCTGCTGCAGCGCCGGCTGCGTGACACGCACCGCACCCGAGTGTCCGGGTCTCCCTCTCCTTCCTTGTGAGCCGCGAGGTGATGCAAGCAGAACAGGGCACACGAACACATCTCACAACCTGCCTGACATGGAGGCAGAGCGGGAAGGCGTGCAAGGCGTGGGGCTGCTGCTCCGAGGCACAGGCTGTGCACTGGCCTCCCTCGCAATGGCTGAGGTCACCGGGAATTTAAAGGTAATTTAATTAGCGCCATTGCAACAGGGGACACTGATTTTCAGTGACAATTTCAGAGTGGTAGCTGTGTTAGTCTGTATCAGCAAAAACAAGGAGGAGTCCTTGTGGCCCAAATAAATGTGTTAGCCTCTAAGGTGCCAAGAGGATGCCTCTTCCCCCCCCCCCAGTGAGATGCTTTGGCATGTAGGGCTTACACTCTGTGGACTCAGGCAAGGAGAGCTGCAATTTTGCAAACCTCACTGCTGGGTGGTAGGTATGCACCTTACCCAGGTTTGTGATGGTGGTGGTGAATTTCCTTACCTGCCACCAGAGCATCAGCCTGTGGTATTTGTTTTTGTATTGAGCAAGTGGTTAGCGGAGGGACTGGGAGCACAGCGACTTTGTGCAAGCGCTTGTATCTCGGGAGATGTGTGTTCAGATCTCACCAATTCTGCCACAGTTGGAAGGAGTTTAATTGTCTGAACCAAACAGAAATTACATTATCTTAAACCACTAAGCCCCCTGGCATGGGACAAGCTGGCCATCATTTTCCTTGAAAGGTGTGTGAGGGGACATGCAACCCCCATGCTGGGCAACACAGGGTTAACAAGCTACTGGGGGCTCAGCTGGCCCTGCCCCATCACACCTGTAAGAGAGGTCAGAAATGGAGGGAGGAGCATAAAAGGGTTCTGGGCTCAGGCAGACATGAGAGGAGAGCTGTGCCTGGAGAGGGGGCTAGCTGAAGGCAGGAGCACCTGGGAGGGCCACTGCCCAATGGTCCCTTCTGGAAAGAAGGGAAGACCTGAGACTGACTCTCCCGGGGTGGGGACTAAACCCTCCTATTTACTTGTGAACTCAGCTTAGGACTGCAGTCTGCTGAACACCTGCTGAAGGAAGAGAGCTTCTTTTACCCAGTTTGGGGATGATTCACTTGTATTAATTACTCTTTTGTTCTGTTCATTTCCAACCCCAGAAGAGTGGACTGTCCAGGCCTAGCTGGAGGGCTGAGCCTCTTAGGAGTGGAAGTGGAGTGGGAAAAATACCTGGCCATCCCTGCAGAGCAGGGGGAGCGCTGGGCCCTGCCCCACAGACAATGTGGGGAAGGAACTCTGGTGAGACAGGAATATTTTAAAACAACAACTAGAGTACTGTATCAGAACTAAGTATTTTTATTTACAGTACAGTAGCACGTCAGGGGTGAGAGCCTTGTAGGGTTGCCAAGCATCTGGTTTTTGACCAGAACGCTCGGTCAAAAAGGGACCCTGGTGGCTCTGGTTAGCGCTGTTGACTGGGCCGCTAAAAGTCTGGTTGGCCACAGCAGCTGGCTCCACACAGCTCCTGGAAGAGGCCAACATGTCCCTCCTGTGATGTTGCACTCTGCATGATTTTATAAATATATGCTAATGAGCAAATATAATGTAACTGGAATATGCTTCATGCAAAAGGTCTCTTGTAAGGCATCATTACAAAGTTTATAATCTACTGAGTGTGGTCATCCTTTATACATTTGTATAAATGTATCACTCTTGTATCTGAGACTAGAAATATGAAATTAACTCTGAGGGCCTATTGTAATTATGCAAAGTGTGGGCCATTAATGGTGGTTTGGAATCTTGATGGCGCCCATCAACCAGGACAATTGACTGTGGATGGCTCTGTTTGCAAGCAAGCCTTCCTGTGAGTCAGGCTGGGAGGAATGAAGGCTTTGGGTCTTAAGTGACATGTGATCATGTCACCTGAACTGGAATCCATCTTTAATCTGGTGTCTTTCCATTGAGAAGGAGGGGGTGGGAACCCAGAGAGGGACAAAGGATTCCCGCCTTATGCAAAAGATATATAAATGGGTGGAATGGAACAAAGGGGAGAGCCATTATGAGGAATCCCCTAGCTACCACCTGAGCTGGAACAAGAGCTGTACCAGGGGAAAGAATTGTGCCCAGGCCTGGAAGGTATCCAGTCTGAGGAAAAAACTTACTGAAGCATCTCTAAGGGTGAGATTATCTGTATTCAGCTTGATTAGACATAGATTTGCGTGTTTTATTTTATTTTGCTTGGTGACTTACTTTGTTCTGTCTGTTACTACTTGAAACCACTTAAATCCTACTTTCTGTATTTAATAAAATTACTTTTTACTTATTAATTAATCCAGAGTATGTGTTAATACCTGGGTGGGCAAACAGCTGTGCATCTCTCTATCAGTGTTATAGAGGGTGAACAATTTATGAGTTTACCCTGTATAAGCTTTATACAGGGTAAAATGGATTTATTTGGGTTTAGACCCCATTGGGAGTTGGGCATCTGAGTATCAAAGACAAGAACACTTCTGTTAGCTGCTTTCAGGTAAGCCTACAGCTGTTAGGGGACGTGATTCAGACCTGGGTCTGGGTTGCAGCAGGCTAGCAAGTCTGGCTCAAACCAGGCAGGGCACTGAAGTCCTAAGCTGACAAGGCAGGGAAGCAGGGGCGGAAGTAGTCTTGACACATCAGGTGGCAGCTCCCAAGGGGGTTTCTGTGATCCAGCCCATCACACCTCCACCTCCTAGGTGCAAGTGGAGCCAGGAGGGCTCTGTGCGCTGCCCCTGCCTGCAGCCCAAGCACCACCCTAAGCGCCATCCCTGCAGACCGGGGAAGTGTGCAGGGCCCCTTGGCCGCCTCTCCACCTAGGAGCCAGAGGGATATGCCAGCCACTTCTGGGACCTGCCTGAGGTAAGTGCCGCCCAGAGCCCGCCCCCTGACCTGTACCCAAATCCCTGCCCCAGGAAGGTGAAAATGAGTGAGGGTGGGGGAGAGCGAGTGACGGAGGGAGGGGGGATGGCGTGAGCAGGGGTGAGGCCTTGGAGAAGGGGCGGGGTAGGGTCAGGGACTCGGAGAAGGCATGGGGCAGGGGTGTTTGGTTTTCTGCAATCAGAAAGTTGGCAACCCGAGAGCCTTGTTATGATATGAAGTGTACAAACACGTAGTGAGATCATCCCTGTCCCAGAGATTTGACAAGCCGACTGTGCGACAAGACACAACAGATGTATAAAATAGGCAAAGGGGAAGATGAGGTAACAATAAAATGATCCTATTGTGCATAAAAAGCAGTAATCTTAGCTCACAACCTGCTGACCATTATGAAAAAGAATCGGTCACATGGAACAAAGAGCATTTTAGAAGTTTACATATATAGTGAAAGGAAATAAAGTGAAAAACTGTACAATTTAAGAACTGAGTTTTGCCACCTTTCTGCATGCCAAATAGAACCTCATCCCCCACCTAGTCCCACTGAAATCAGATGGAAAACCTGCAGAGTAAAATGCTAGTCAGCCTGAGTAAGGTTGACAGAATCTGACTCAGTGTAAAAAGTTGTACAGAAGAGAGAGCTTCCCAATCCATATTTCCTTCAATATAAGGACTAAATTTTAGAGCTGTCAGTTAACTCACACGATTAACTAAAAAAAATTAATCGAGATTACAAAAATTGGGATTACTCACAATTTTAATTGCACTGTTAAAAAATAGACTACCAATTGAAATTTATTAAATATTTTGGATGTTTTTCTACATTTTCATGTATATTGTATTCTGTGTTTCAGAGTAACAGCCGTGTTAGTCTGTATTCACAAAAAGAACAGGAGTACTTGTGGCACCATAGAGACTAACAAATTTATTTGAGCATAAGCTTTCGTGGGCTACAGCCCACTTCTTCAGATGCATAGAATGGAACATCTAGTAAGGAGATGTATGTGTGTGTGTGTGTGTGTGTGTATATATATATATATATATATATATATATATATACACACATACATACAGAACATGAAAAGGTGGAAGTAGCCATATCAATTGTGTTGTAATATACACTTTGATTTCAATTTTTTTATTACAAATATTTGCACTGTAAAAATGATAAACAAAAAAATAGTATTTTTCAATTCACCTCATACAAGTACTGCAGTGCAATCAGTTTATCGTGAAAGTGCAACTTATAAAGCTACATTTTGTATTGTTACATAACTGCACTCAAAACCAGAACAATGTAAAACTTCAGGGCTTACAAGTCCACTCAGTCTTACTTCTTGTTCAGCCAGTCGCTAAGACAAACAAGTTTGTTTACATTTACAGGAGATAATGCTCTCTTCTTGTTTACAGTGTCACCAGAAAGTGAGAACAAGTATTTGCGTGGTACTTTTGTAGCTGGCATTGCAAAGTATTTATTTATATGCCAGATATGCTAAACATTTGTATGCCCCTCCATGCTTCAGCCACCATTCCAGAGAACATGCTTCCATGCTGATGACGTTCATTTAAAAAAAATAATTCATTAATTACATTTGTGACTGAACTCCCTGGGGGAGAATTATATGCCTCCTCCTCTGTTTTACCCGTATTCTGCCATATATTTCATGTTATAGCAGTCTCAGATGATGACCCAGCACATGTTGTTCATTTTAAGAACACTTTCACTGCAGATTTCACAAAATGCAAAGAAGGTACCAATGTGAGATTTCTAAAGATAACTACAGCACTCAACCCAAGGTTTAAGAATCTGAAGTGCCTTCCAAAATCTGAGAGGGACGAGGTGCTTTCAGAAGTCTTAAAAGAGCAACTCTCCGATACGGAAACTACAGAACCCGAACCACCAAAAAAGAAAATCAACCTTCTGCTGGTGGCATCTGACTCAGATAATGAAAATGAACATGCGTCGATCTACACTGCTTTGGATTATTATCAAGAAGAACCCGTCATCAGCATGGACACATGTCCTCTGGAACGATAGTTGAAGCATGGAGGGATATATGAATCTTTAGCGCATCTGGCACTTAAATATCTTGCAACACCGACTACAACAGTGCCATGAGAATGCCTGTTCTCATTTTCAGGTGACATTGTAAACAAGAATTGGGCAGTATTATCTCCTGAAAATGTAAACAAACTTGTTTGTCTGAGCGACTGGCTGAACAAGAAAGAGTACTGAGTGGACTTGCGGGCTCTAAAAGTTTGCCTTGTTTTATTTTTGAGTGCAGTTTTTTTGTACATAAT